CCCTGCGAAGTGCTCGCGCAAGCACTCCCAAGGTTCAAAGATAAGCCCACCACCGTTGGTGAGGCTACCTTCGTACTGACCTTCTTGCCTCGACATGTTCTAGACGTGTGGCCACAGTTGCCATAGTTCATGCACGTGCCCCTAGCAACTCTATCCCTCCACACCTCGTAATCTAACCAAGTTTTACCCATGCGGGTGTTCCTTGGTCGCCCTGACCCGTAGACCGGCCTACCTTCTTCTTCCCAGTCCCCCTAGCCTTTTCTTTTATAGGAGCTGCAACTCCCCCATCCGAAGTCTCGCCCCCATCATCCTCTATCTCGTCCCCATAGTCTGGAAAGTCGTCAATTTTTGTCGCCTGACCATCATGGTCAACGAACATAAGTTGACCTTTCTTCTTCCGGTCCTGGGGAAGTCTCTTCTTCCTACCATCTATTGGACTCTGATGCGCGGACCCACGCTTTGCCTCTATATCTAAGGCTTTCTTGCTGAAAGTAGCGAAGCTATGTTGGGGATGTATGTCTCATCCACCAACTTAGTTCTAACTTTTGAGGGTATATATCTCAAGTAGTCTGTGAGGAGTACTTGTGGGTCAAAACGCACACCAGGTACTACGATAATACGTTCTACAGTGTCTGTGACTTCGCGTACATATATGTATATATCACAAGTGGTTAACGGGGACCCCCACTTTTCGGCCCTGGGTAACGATGAATGATCCTGAAAGTAGGGTTTCGGGGTCAAATTTTGTGTCTATATATATATATATATTACCAATAAGAAAATTGAGGCCGGGGTCCTCACAGTCTACCTGGAGTGACTGAACCGAACTTGCTGAGAACCGGGATCAACGTCCCTCATATGATGATGATGATGATAATGATGATAATGATGATAATGATGATGAACCTTTTGGCACACAGATTGTTAATTGCGTCGGTAGCCTTCTGAGCCCCTTGGGGATCATGCCACCTGTTGTACACACTCCGCACGAACTCTTCCTCTGTCTGGCCTGAGCCCAGGCGTCGAAGTTCTGACCATAACCCTGCTGCTGCACTACCCCGTTTAACCAACGTGCCGCCGATCCCTCTAAAAAGGAGGCAACAACTATAACCTCTTGCTCTGGCCTTGTGAGCTTGTGCCTCACATAAGTAGGCACAATCCTCACCCAAGTATCCAAGTCCTCGTCCTTCTTCCTATTGCCAGAGAAGGGCTTAGCAAGGGTATCTTGGGCATCCACTGCATGGGCTGCATTGGCCCAGGAGATTGCTGCAGTGGCTGCATAACCACTGAAACAGGTTGCTGCACACTAACCTGGGCTTGCCCTGACAATGGGACTGTAGTTACCACTGTCGTGGATGGTACGGTTGAAGCTCTAAGAACCGGACCACTGGTAGCCACAAAACCACCTGGAGGGTGCATACCAAACATAGGAGAAAAAGAGGGCCCTGTCGGAAACGGCGTCGCCGAGGGACCCGCAACCGAAGGGGGAGCTACGACAAACCGAGGCTGCCTCATCGATGGACGAGGAGCCTGTAGTGCAGCCAGAATTCGTTTCTGGCCTGCCACTAGTTCAGCCAGCACCTCCTGCTGAACAACCTGTGTTTCAGCCACACACAGGAGCGAATTTCGCAGCCCTTGCAAAGCGGGATCAAGTGTTGACTCATCTAGTGCCTCTAGTTTGCCTAGTTCCTGCAATCTACTACCTAGTCTAGCTTTCCTCATTATAGCTCTTCTCCTTCTCTCTGCTGCCTCATCCAACTGCCGCTGCAGCTCATCCTAAAGTTCTTCTGCTTGGAGGATCTCATAATCCTCCGGTGTGAGTTGAGCCTGCTGGCTGACTTGCATGCCAACACTCTGGCTAACGGAAACCTGGGAAACACTCTGACTTACTCCTGACGAAGTGGCCTGCGAAGAGGCCTGCGACATGGAGGAGGTGGCCATAGTTGCACATGTGCTAGCTATAGTTCTAGACCTAGCGCTGGCCGCGGCGTCCCTCGCTCTCCTCGCTGCGGCTCTCTCTCTAGCCTCTCTCCGCAGTCTCCTCTCGTCTCCTGGACCTATCTCTAGGAAAATCAAGGGTCGATTGAGAGCAGTTCTTCGATTGATCCTAAGGTTGTCCACTAACAACTCCTCCTCACTAGTGCTTGCATCACTCATGAGCTATAGTGTGTGTGATCTAAACTAGAATCCACATTGAATCCTACCTCAGCATGACACACAACCGAGTATGATACACAACTAATTTCGGTCGTCCAGGACAGAAATAGTTAGGAAGTTTAGTGTCAACTAATGTCAGATCCTATAGTGAACGTTAAATCTATTTTTAGATTACTCTAATACAGATTGCAATGCAGCAAAGAATATGCTACTCTATCTGAAGCTGTTTGTCAGTTGTTAGACAGGTCCGTAACAACTAAATAATCAAACATAGAAATAACATCTCCTGCAGAGATGTATGCTGGATGACAGTTTATCTATTTAGTGCCACTGCGAACAGTTACCGGAATCCAACCCTTTCCCTGTATCCCTCTTGAGTAGTCACTTTGTGTCGACATTCCTAGGCATCTGGTTGAGCAGCGTGTCTGAAGGTGTGCATTCCGGCCCACCCCTGTGAACTAAGCCTACGCCGAACCTGCCAGCCGCTGCACCTTATTTATCCTCGCATGCAACGAGCCTTACACCCGGTTTGATTTGGCTGATTAAGAGGCAGTTTAAGGACAGCCCCCAAGGTCCTCAGGAATTATTTAACGTCGCAGACAGGACGACGATCACCGCCGGAGTCAAAACCGAGTCCCCACCAGAAACATTTAAAGACGGTCTGGTAAGCGTCTGTCCAAAGGGCTGGCATGCCCTGCATGACTTCTATTACGCGGGAGCAGAACCAAGGACTTGCGGCAAAGCATGTGTGTACTAGTCCCAGTGGGTTGGCATGGTGACCGTGCCCTGAGTGCTTCGTCCAGGGCCCTTCAGAGGCATCGCCCGTCTCCCACCAGCTTGCTTCCCAGGAAGAATGTCGACTCTCAAGGTTGAGCGCTCGCGACACCTCACATTGAGAGGACTCTCAAGACAGAACTCACTTCCTCACGGTAAGAGGTAATGAAGAGGGTAGATAAGGAACAGAGCAACATACCTCTTAATGCTGCCCCCAACCACAGATTTCTCACCGGCAACCTGATGTGTATTTATGATGACCAGTCTTTGCCTCGGCACAACCAACAGCAGAATGCAGTTCCACCTCGGCTTAAATGCCACATCAGCGAGCTCTTATCATCCAGCGTACACCCCTAATGTCACCACATAGCTTCCTGGCGCACCCACGCGACCCTGGGAAGCCTTACATTCAACGCCAAAGCCTTATCACTGCCCCACACCTCGTGCGAAGCACCGAGCAGCTACTGCGAAGAGCCAATGAAACTCAGATCAAACCAGCTCTGATACCAAATTGCAACGAAAATGAGCAATAGCGAGATGACAATATACAGATTGCACAATGACATTGAAARCCAGATCGTATCACAGTGTTCAGGAAGCAGCATTGCACCAATATGACACCAATGGAGAATCGTAACACTGAAAACCAATGTCAATGAGAGCTTGCTCTCACCACCACCAACATATGTGTCCAGGCCCCTTCTCCCTACTTGGCGCTCGGCGCCCAGCCTACTCCCTACACAGCTACTACTAGCCTACTAATTGACAATGCAACTGTTGACGTCAGCAGCCAACAAAGTACTTGAAGATGTCGCCCGTAGCAGACCATCGTTGTTACCAGGTATGTGCCCTCACATCATCATCATCATCATCCTTCTCTCTCTCTCCCTCGACATACACCCGCGTCTTCCCTCTGTACACCCAAAGACCACCCCCTGCGCCTCACTGTAGACCAAGCCCACCTGGCTATGGAGGATGGGCTATGGCGCTGCCCTCAGCAGCGCCCTTTGCTGCACACGACCGCACGTGCCCGCACCTAGCCTCTCAGCGCCATCCACAGCCCACGACCGTCCGCTCCAGCAGCGCTGCCGCTAGCATGCAAGTGCCCGAATGAGAGGCCAGGCAGCGAGCTCTTCCCTATATGGAATGAGCCCGCCTGCCTTCGCAGCCTGGCTGGCCTGGGCNCGCTAGCATGCAAGTGCCCGAATGAGAGGCCAGGCAGCGAGCTCTTCCCTATATGGAATGAGCCCGCCTGCCTTCGCAGCCTGGCTGGCCTGGGCCTCGGCCCAGAAGCTTTCGGTAGGACCCAGGATGCTGCACCTCTGTTGCAGCTACTGGGCCTCATTCAGTTGGGCCTCCCAACTGTCTGTGTATGAAGCTGCGATTCTCGCCCAGGGCCAGCATTTTTCTGAAAGGCCCGGAAGGCCGTGGAATTTCTCGCTACTCGGCCTGTGTTTCCCGTAACCAACTGGCGTGACGAAACTGCCTGGACCCCAAGTACGAAATTGGCAGCTGAGGGCCTCTCGTGATTTGTTAGGCGCACCTTCAGTTAGGGCGGGCACATTTGCAACAGGGCCCCCTTAGGCCTGTTGAGGACCCAAATCCTCGCATCTGGTTTCCACTGTGGTTTCGTGTGATCTCTGAATGTGTGTGTGTGTGCTCAAGGTGCCGAGCAATGAGGCTCAATGCATTCAGTATTCTAAGTATTCTTGCTGGTGGTTCGCAGAGCACATCTGGCTGTCTCCTAAACGGGTAATGAGCAGCAACAATATGTTGTCTGACCGGGGAAAAAACTCAAAAGAGTCGGTTGGCGTAACAATGGGGAAGGTTCACTATTTTACCTCACCAATGTCACCACAGTATTTCGTCTGATCCCTTCATGTCTTTCTTACACAAAGATGCAAAGTTTAGAGCGTAGATTGTTAAATTTGGTCTCCTCTGTTCTCTTTTCCATTTCCATGATAACAATCAATGACCTGAGCTTTAACCTTCCAGGTACCCTTACTGGACTGTCATGATGATATTAACTCATGATGCTGCACATATGCGACATGATGATTACAATGCAGGAATGGCAAGGCTCTTGGTCAACCGCCAGTGGAGAATGGGAGAAGCAGGAGAACCTCTGGGTGAGACAGGAGTTGAATTACACCCCTGAACGTGATAAAAGGATGTTTTGGATGTCATATGACGACCTCATAGTGTTTTTCAATAAGGTAAGATTTATGGTTCACGCAGCTACAGTGCCATATAGAATCCGGGCGTAAACTGAGTTATTATGAATGATGTAACAGCTATGGAACTTTTTTTTTCCCCTTACTTCAAGTTCTGAATGCAAGGAATATGAGCGAGAGTGATAGACAAAACCAAGTTGCAAAATCACGCAGAAGTCCAGATAGTCATGTACCAGGCAGAGAGCTCAAATGCACGAAGATTCCATCCACATAAGAGCGATACAATGAACTCGTGAGCCAATGTCCAAGCCCTCAGGCCACACCAACACAGTACTCAATGTCTCTCCTACTGTATGGCGCCCAGCGCCCAGCCTACTCTACTCAGCCTATCTATCCTATCTACATTCGTGCAACAGGCTCACTTCGCCGTCGAAGACCAATGTACATGACGTCAACACCAATGCCGACCTCCCACATACACCAGGTACGTTCTCTTGTCTCCCCTCATCAGACCTTGTCCACCCACTCATGCGCCTCCTTCCTGAAGACCACCGTCACCCGTCACCTGCCCGCGCCCCTGCAGCCCGGCTAGCCGCTAAGCGCCCCGCTGCCCTGAGCGCCCCTCTTCACCTCATAGCGCCCGCTTGTGCCCCAGCCAGCAGCGCTAATGCAGACACTTGCGCAGTGTCGCAGCAGCGTGTCCGCATTGCCTGCCTAGGCCATAATGCCTTCCCCTGTCCAGCCTCCTCCCTATATGGGAGTAGCTGCCCCACTGGTCTGCTTCGGCCTGGCCGAGGAAGTTTCCAGTGGCTTCCGGTTGGGTCCCAGTGTCTGCGCCCAGGCCCATTTCTACAGTTAAGGGCCTGGGCCCTCTTCGATTGGGCACTTCCAGGATGCCTCCACGCTCCAAGTGTTCACCGTGTTTGCATTGGCCCGCAGGGCAGGTGTGACGACAATGCTGCATTCTCATTGGCCCGCGGCCACTTTGTGATGTATTGGCCTCACACTGCCTGTGCCCAGGGCTCAACCACCTGCGTCCTGGGCTCAACTGCTTGACACAGCTGCTGCTTCTGGAAAGAGCTTAGGGAGAGGCCAGGTTGCACTTCAACCAACTGGCGTGCAGCAACTGTCTGATACCCACATTGGAAAATGCTGAGATAAGGGCCTCTCGTGGATATTCAGGCCCGCCTTCACTTCGGGCGGGCACGAGGCTTGCTATGGGCCACTGTCCAGAACCTGTGCATGTTGGCTAGGTCCCCTTGAGGGCACATTCCTCACATGAAGGTCTAGCTAGGGGTAATGATAAGAGCATGTACCCCTAGCTATTCCTACAGATGGCTCCTATCTATTGGTGGGGAGCCGCACCAGCTGGAAACCGGGTCCAGCGTCCCATGATAACAGTTGTGGAACTTGACTTAAGGGTTCAACAAGTCGTTCCCTTTGTGCTGTTGTTCTCTGTGTCATGGTCATTTTCACCGCTAGATCAACTTCTGGTTGCAAGTCGTCACTTTTGTCATTTTTGTGTTTTACGGTTGGTGTCGTCACTTTCGTCTTCTTCCAAGTTACATTTGGTTCCCAGCTTCCCACATATTTCGGGTTGCTAACCCACTATAAGTCCAGGATCAACTGTCCAGTTGATGTAGCTCAGTGGTTAGAGCACCGGTTGGAAATGCGCATTGTGGTATGAGGTTGCCGGTTCAAATCCGTAGCCTTGCGCATGGACACCGGCAAGGGTAAGGAACTGTTACTGTTGCTGTTGTATTCATTGTTGAAAGCTGTTCATCATCAAAGAGACTTCAATGTTGTCTGTTGTTGTGCTGGTGTGGTCAATGCTCTGTCGTTTCTGCTACTACCATCTTCCCCCGAACACAACGCACACTTATTTGAGCTGTTCCTGACCGGAAATATAGCTTCGATAGATTCATTATCAGGTCTCGTTATGTTCGGGGGGGAAGACGGTAGTCTGGTTGCCATATGCATGCTGGCCAAGAGAGTTTGCGGTGCACGTGACTTGAGTTCCTCCTGTGCGATTTCCCTGCAGAAGTCAAAAGGAAGAGAAAAACAGCGTAGACAGAAAAGGAAAACAGAACCGACAAAAAAAAGCAAGGTCACATCCACAAAGAAAGTAGTACCCCCAGGTTCCCCACAAAGAATCAGCCCCCAGTTTGAAACTGGTCTGGAGTGCCTTCAGATTTCAAACTGGGCTGTTTATGTCTCTTGGTCTGGAAACCACGCTTCTGGCTCAGGCCACTGGAGTCGTGATCTCAAAGCACCACTGCCTCCATCCTAGTGCCGGTGTACAAGGGGACCATGGGTACCGGTCCCACTTTTGTGGAGGCCTGCATGGTATTCCATCATGTGGGGAACTACAAAATTTGGTAGTACCCCTGCATCTCCCCTTGTAAACTGGTGGATCATCAGGACGCGGGCCTGTGCTGTCTTTTGGTTATTAAACTAAGTCGCAGGGGGACCATGGGTACCCCTCCGTTGAGTGGTTTCCTGGTGTAAAGGACACTGGACACTTCTTCTGCCTTTTTTTTTTTTTTTTTTTTTTTKTGMAAASGGKGGGBTTYWKTTTTTTTTTTTTTTTTTTTTTTAATAAATAAAACACAACTGAAGTCATTAGGAATGATGATAAGAGCAATCATTCCTAATCACCCAGCTGAGACTCCATTCTATTGGTAGGGAGTATCACCTGCTGAAAACCGGGTTCAGCGTCCCTTATACGGAAAAATTGTCCAAAATTACATCATGATAGACATTCAAAGGCAGCAAAAGGATCAAAACCACCTCTTCAGTCCTGATCGGACCGCCAGATAAGACATACACCTCTAGCAGTTCAAACCCCCCTGCTGATATCATAATCTTCCTCCCCCCCCCCAAACCATTGAGGTTCCACATTCTTTTTTTGTTTTGTTTTTCACATTATGTATGTGTGTATTTGTTCCTGTGTGCACTGCCCTGCATAGTCTTAGGCTTCCGCCTTCAGGTCTTGTTTTACTCATAACATGTGTTTCGTCTTTGCTGTCAAGTTCTACATAGGACACGTGTTTGCAAGTGGATGGTACAAGAAAGTACTCAGAGATGCATGGGTTGGTCCCACAGCTGGAGGGAGGTAAGTTACAGATGCCCAATCAATCTTCTTTGTTTGATTGATCTTTGTTCTCACTGAACAATCCACTCCTCTTTCTCGGGCCATGGAATGTGAGCGCGGATCTCGAACAGCTATTCACTCATACAGACAAATGCGCAAGCAAATGGGCCGAAGGTTGGGTGAAAGGGGAGCGTGGAGAAGGTGGGAGAAGGCTGAGAGGGAAACATAAATGAAAGGACGCAGTCATTGTTGTGACATCTGATACAAGGAATGGGATAGCTTTTTCTTCTTTTTTTTTTTTCTTTTTTTTCCCCTAAGCAACCCAAGGAATGGGATAGCTTATCATGCATCTGATAAGAATTCCTTAGTGCAATGATGACATCTTCCTATTATGGCAAAAGTGGCCAACAATTCGACATTTTCAGATTGCTGTGGAGCGGTGGCTGCTCCGGGCTTCCATTCAAAAGCCAGGAGACAAATACGTATGATTATACGACAATGTCATTAGAAAGTTACAGTTGAGAAAGTAAAAGAAAAAAAGTTACAGTTGCACCAAGGGCTGATGCTAGCACCTTGGCTTTTTTTTTTTGTTTTGGAAAATGTTTGAATCTATTTGGTTGGGGGGGGAGGGGGGTCACCTGCTGGGAACATATTAAGCACCGTAGTGATTGCTAATTTTGAAACTCAGGACGTAGACATCCCTGCAGCAACGGCTGCTGTTTCAACGAAGCTACCTGGGTATGGCTACAGTAGACAAACACAATTTGAAAAGGGTGACGGCCTTGAAAATTAACGTTGGACCAACCGGCCCAGGTGACTCACAGTCATTAAGAGTTATCCAGAGTTAGTCAATAGTTCTGCCAAGGAAATGGGGTACTTGGCCCTGGTAGTATTTTATTTTCCGAAGGACGGGGCCTCAGTTGGCCCTGATAGTATTTGATTTTCAGCAGGACAGGGCCTGCCGATGGCGACGGCAGAAGGTTTTGCAGCCAAGCGGTCCGGCAGACCGATCGGCTGTCTGTCCGCCAGCAGTCGGCGGCAGACAGCATTGCACTGTGATTTTTTTTCTTTCAAATCCCACCTGGGGGCTGCTCTGTGCTTGCCTAGAGCATCCTGAATCTGCAATAAAGATTAGGGAAAACTAGGGTGCTGTCAAAATGCATTTCAGTCACGATTTCTCGAATGCGAGGAAAATCGTGAATGTATACAACCCAGCTTTAGGGTCGGGTGGGGATGTGTTGTATTCGAGGGATGCCTGAAGTGGATTTAAAACTGAAACCGTGACTGCGCCCTAGATAACCCTGAAAATTAACTTTGAGGTTGGGTAAGGGGGAGTGGTTGGAGGGGGGGGAGTTGAAAACTAATTAAGGATCGTAGCCTCAGACAGGGGATATCTCTTGTCGATCGGGCTGCATGAAATGGTAGGGAATACAAAGGTGACCCTATTCACTGTTCCGAAGGGTAATCCTACCCGATATCCGATTATGCTTGATAGAAAACCTAATGAAGATGAGTAGCTTATGACTGGAGCTACCTCTTGTAGATCTGATTGAATGAGGTGGTAAGAGGTTCAAAGGTGGCCCTATTCGCTGTTCAGATCTTGATTCTATAATTATGAATTTTTTTATTGTTGCAAATAAAAATAAAATAAAAAGTATTAAAAACATAAAGTCTCGAGTGATGTCATGAACGCAGGGGATGTCTGGCGTGCAGTCGTTGAGGCTTTACGGTCTTAGACTTCCTTCCCTGCTGATGGTCCGCACCGATGCATTCATTATTGGATACTCCGCGAAAAGGTGACTCCAGGCCCTGATCAAACAATTATTGACGGTACCTCGCTTGAAAAGCTTTTGAAGCTTCGAGACGGGATAGTCAACGGAGAATTTGAATGGGGAGCGACTCGTATTCTGTCGAAACCTGGGAGAACAAAAAGCGTCCACTGGGAGTTTATGCTTCCAGGACAGGATTGTACAAATGTAAATGGACGGGGGCAGAGTTGACTGTTACCACCACGTCGCAGCCTATTTAATTTCATTTGGTGATTAGGAAAGCGGGGCACGCAACCCGTGCTGCTGGCCTGGCGGAAACATCCAGCAGGCATGCAGTGTTGGCCCGTCTGGGGAAGTAATGATGACGGTGGTAATAACCAAAAACTGATATTGTTTAATTGTGGAAAGGCCATATCAGGCGCTTCAATGAAAATAGGAACAGCAACTCAACCAGCACTCCTATGAATTGTGCAGGTGAGAGCTCTACAGAAGCGGAATTCCAAGGCCATCAAGGCTGCTTTGAAAACACTGAAGCGCAAGAGTAGGAGAAGAAGAAAAAACAGAAGTTTGGCTTTTGCATGGGCCAACAACCCCTGACTGGTGGCAGCTGATGGGTGGACAATTTGCTGGTTGGCCCTGATGGGTCAGGGGAAGCCGACGGTCGGCAGGACTACACTCGCCATTGATAAGATATCCTTGCCCATGAAGACTGACCATGTCCTCTGTGAATCAGATGTGCTCTCCAACAGCTGGACAAGAAAACAATACTCTTCCTGTTACATGCCCAGTTGGGTGATGTGCATAATAAAACGAGGATCCGCAATGTGATGAAGAGGACGGGATGGACAATGCAGTGCTAGTGAAATCTCAACAAGCAGTGTTCATCCTGATACATACAAATGGTGTTTTAATAGCGCAGTGGAAGATTTAGATACAAGTCCTGACCTGACCGGGACTGACCTCTTTCACGTAGTACAAGATAGCGAAGCAGAATGCTAGAATACTAGTGACGAGCCCAATCAATGTCGCAATGCAGACTAAACATACATCATTCTCACCACAAGGTGTGAAGGGGCCTGGCGCTATACACAGGAAGAAGGCGCCAGGTCCAGAGATGCACAGATGAAGAGGAGGGGATCAGACGAAGAGGAGGGGGGAGATGGGAAAGTCGTCAACACCAAGTCTCGTTACAAGTCCCAAATAATCCCTCATCAAGATGTCTGAAGCCCATGTCGAGTCTGGATCCAAATGTC